CCAAGAATAGACGGGAGGGACACAGCCGGAGTTCCTGTTACTAGAACCTCCGAAACGTGTCCCCTGAAATCTGAAGTTCTCCATCCGTGTGTGGAATGGAGTCATGTGACCGGGTCCCGGGGGGGTTATGGTTGTAGATTGGATGGAATGAGTCATGTGACCGGGTCCCATGGGGGGGTTATGGATGTAGATTGGATGGAATGGAGTCATGTGACCGGGTCCCGGGGGGGTTATGGATTGTAGATTGGATGGAATGGAGTCATGTGACGGGTCCCGGGGGGGTTATGGATGTAGATTGGATGGAATGGAGTCATGTGACCGGGTCCCCGGGGGGGTATGGATCCGTGTAGATTGGATGGAATGGAGTCATGTGACCGGGTCCCGGGGGGGTTATGGATGTAGATTGGATGGAATGGAGTCATGTGACCGGGTCCCGGGGGGGGTTATGGATGTAGATTGGATGGAATGGAGTCATGTGACCGGGTCCCGGGGGGGGTTATGGATGTAGATTGGATGGAATGGAGTCATGTGACCGGGTCCCGGGGGGGGGGGGTTATGGATGTAGATTGGATGGAATGGAGTCATGTGACCGGGTCCCGGGGGGGGTTATGGTTGTAGATTGGATGGAATGGAGTCATGTGACCGGGTCCCGGGGGGGGGGTTATGGATGTAGATTGGATGGAATGGAGTCATGTGACCGGGTCCCGGGGGGTTATGGATGTAGATTGGATGGAATGAGTCATGGACCCGGGGGGGGTTATGGTTGTAGATTGGATGGATGGAATGAGTCATGTGACCGGGTCCCGGGGGGGTTATGGTTGTAGATTGGATGGAATGGGAGTCATGTGACCGGGTCCGGGGGGTTATGGATGTAGATTGGATGGAATGGAGTCATGTGACCGGGTCCCTGGGGGGGGGGTTATGGTTGTAGATTGGATGGAATGGAGTCATGTGACCGGGTCCCGGGGGGGGTTATGGTTGTAGATTGGATGGAATGGAGTCATGTGACCGGGTCCCGGGGGGGGTTATGGATGTAGATTGGATGGAATGGAGTCATGTGACTGGGTCCCGGGGGGGTTATATGGTTGTAGATTGGATGGAATGGAGTCATGTGACCGGGTCCGGGGGGGTTATGGATGTAGAGATTGGATGGAATGGAGTCATGTGACCGGGTCCCGGGGGGGGGTTATGGTTGTAGATTGGATGGAATGGAGTCATGTGACCGGGTCCCGGGGGGGTTATGGTTGTAGATTGGATGGAATGGAGTCATGTGACCGGTCCGGGTCCCGGGGGGGAATTATGGACCGGGTCCCGGGGGGGGTTATGGTTGTAGATTGGATGGAATGGAGTCATGTGACCGGGTCCCCGGGGGGGTTATGGATGTAGATTGGATGGAATGGAGTCATGTGACCGGGTCCGGGGGGGTTATGGATGTAGATTGGATGGAATGGAGTCATGTGACCGGGTCCCGGGGGGTTATGGATGTAGATTGGATGGAATGGAGTCATGTGACCGGGTCCCTGGGGGGTTATGGTTGTAGATTGGATGGAATGGAGTCATGTGACCGGGTCCCGGGGGGTTATGGATGTTTGTAGATTGGATGGAATGGAGTCATGTGACCGGGTCCCGGGGGGGTTATGGATGTAGATTGGATGGAATGGAGTCATGTGACCGGGTCCCGGGGGGGTTATGGTTGTAGATTGGATGGAATGGAGTCATGTGACGGGTCCCGGGGGGGTTATGGTTGTAGATTGGATGGAATGGAGTCATGTGACCGGGTCCCGGGGGGGTTATGGATGTAGATTGGATGGAATGGAGTCATGTGACCGGGTCCGGGGGGGGGTTATGGATGTAGATTGGATGGAATGGAGTCATGTGACCGGGTCCCGGGGGGGGGGTTAGATGGTTGTAGATTGGATGGAATGGAGTCATGTGACCGGGTCCCGGGGGGGGTTATGGATGTAGATTGGATGGAATGGAGTCATGTGACCGGGTCCCGGGGGGGTTTATGGATGTAGATTGGATGGAATGGAGTCATGTGACCGGGTCCCGGGGGGTTATGGATGTAGATTGGATGGAATGGAGTCATGTGACCGGGTCCCGGGGGGGGTTATGGTTGTAGATTGGATGGAATGGAGTCATGTGACGGGTCCCGGGGGGGGTTATGGGTTGTAGATTGGATGGAATGGAGTCATGTGACCGGGTCCCTGGGGGGGGTTATGGATGTAGATTGGATGGAATGGAGTCATGTGACCGGGTCCCGGGGTTATGGATGGGGGGGGGTGTTATGGATGTAGATTGGATGGAATGGAGTCATGTGACGGGTCCCGGGGGGTTATGTATGGATTGGATGGATGTAGATTGGAATGGAGTCATGTGACCGGGTCCGGGGGGGGTTATGGTTGTAGATTGGATGGAATGGAGTCATGTGACCGGGTCCCGGGGGGGTTATGGTTGTAGATTGGATGGAATGGAGTCATGTGACCGGGTCCCGGGGGGTTATGGATGTAGATTGGATGGAATGGAGTCATGTGACCGGGTCCCGGGGGGGTTATGGATGTTGATTGGATGGAATGGAGTCATGTGACCGGGTCCCGGGGGGGGGTTATGGTTGTAGATTGGATGGAATGGAGTCATGTGACCGGGTCCCGGGGGGGTTGTAGATTGGATGGAATGAGTCATGTGACCGGGTCCCGGGGGGGCTGAGGGGTCCGTGTCTCCTCCATGAGGGGTGGACATGAGTCCTTAGGGTGGACCACAGATCCCAGCAAGCTTCCTCAGTTGCTCTCTTCCCTTTTAGATGTCACAGGAAATGAGGGCGGGCCCAGAACCCCACCAGGGGAGGCGGTAAATTTTTTAACCCCGCCTACAAACAGAGCTGCTGAGTCACTGCTGGGGGGGAGGGGGGGATGAGCTGCTGAGTTACTGCTGGGAGGGGGGGAGCTACTAAGTCACTGCTGGGGGGGGAGTGGGGAGGAGCTGCTGAGTCACTGCTGGGAGGGGGGGGAGTTGCTGAGTCACTGCTGGGAGGGGGGGGGGGGAGTTGCTGAGTCACTGCTGGGGGGGGGTGAGGGGCTGCTGAGTCACTGCTGGGAGGGGGGAGCTACTAAGTCACTGCTGGGGGGGGGGAGTGGGGAGGAGCTGCTGAGTCACTGATGGGAGGGGGAGGGGGGAGCTTCTGAATCACTGCTGGGGGGGGGGGGGGAACTGCAGAGTCACTGCTGGGAGGGGGAGGGGGGAGGAGCTGCTGAGTCACTGCTGGGAGGGGGGGGGAACTGCTGAGTCACTGCTGGGTAGGAGGGGGGAGGGGGGAGGAGCTGCTGAGTCACTGCTGGGAGGGGGGAGGGGGGGAGCTGCTTAGTCACTGCTGGTAGAGGAGACCATGGGAGGGGGAGGGGGACATTGCTGGCTCAGTGCTGGTAGAGGAGACCATGGGAGGGGGAGGGGGACATTGCTGGCTCAGTGCTGGTAGAGGAGACCATGGGAGGGGGAGGGGCACATTGCTGGCTCAGTGCTGGTAGATGAGACCATGGGAGGGGGAGGGGGACATTGCTGGCTCAGTGCTGGTAGAGGAGACCATGGGAGGGGGAGGGGGACATTGCTGGCTCAGTGCTGGTAGAGGAGACCATGGGAGGGGGAGGGGGACATTGCTGGCTCAGTGCTGGTAGAGGAGACCATGGGAGGGGGGGGAGGGGGACATTGCTGGCTCATTGCTGGTAGAGGAGACCATGGGAGGGGGAGGGGGACATTGCTGGCTCAGTGCTGGTAGAGGAGACCATGGGAGGGGGAGGGGCCTCTATGAAGTCTACCATCACATGCGGGTCGATCTCCGGATCACATTTCTGTTGCTTTCTTTTATAAATCATTTTTGGAAGAAGATGTAAATCCCATGAATAATACCTGCCCATTGTACCCCCCTTCCCCCCTCCATCCCCCCATCCCCCCCCCCCCCACCCTGGTATGGCTTCCATTGCCTGTCAATGGAGGTTGGTGGCCCCGTCAGATTGGCCCGTCTATGGGGCCCCTCGGTCACATAGGTGAGGGACTTTCCAGAACATGAATGGGAAGATGGCGGATGTGATTTGCGGCTCATTACATCAAACAGAAGAGTTGTCTGGGTGGGAAGACGGATGTAGGAGAGGTCGAGGGGGGGGGGGGCCGGGTGGTACAAGGGGGGGGGACTCGGTGTCATGGAAAGATGGAGAGATAACTTGTGTATATACGTCAGTCGGGGAGTCGGGGACCATTGGCTGGCTGGAGATCCTGAGAGTGGAACACCGAGAGCTCCAGGACGATATTTCCTCACCGATCGCTCACAGACATGAGAAGGCGTGACGTCTGAGAGCCACACGTGAGGAAGGGAAGATCACGTCACATACAGAGAACATACAGACCCCTCCAGCCATGTTGGAGAAGACAGCTGCTCGTCAATTCGGCTCATGTTTGATGAGGTGTCGTACTTTGGACCCTACAAGTCCCCTGTGGACTGGGCTCTCCAGATTGTCCACAGCCCCCCTCATCCATGAGGCCATGGAAGATGGTTCAGTAGCCAGCCGGACTCTACCCTATGAGGCCATTCCCACCACTGGACGCAGCGCCTGGTTCAACCTCTTCCAGTTCTGGAGGAAGAACAGCTTCCAGCACATGCACTTTGTTATGGAGGAGAACTTCCAGAACTTAGGGCCAATATACAGGTAAGTGCCCTTCATTATATCAACCTATCCATACACCATGTGGATGAAAGTGTGTGAACCCCCCAATGATGGAGGTCAGGTGTCTCCAGTGACGGGTCCTGGTGATCCTCCATCATACAAAGACATTGGAGACAATTGTGCTCTTCCAGCCTTGTGGTGACAGTTTGGTGAAGACCCTTTTCTGTCCCCCCATGACTGTCCCCCGTGTACAGAGCCAGCTCCATAAAGACATGGATGACCACTTTGGTGAAGACCCTTTTCTGTTCCACCATGACTGTCCTCTGTGTACGAAGCCATCTCCATAAAGACATGGATGACCAGTTTGGTGAAGACCCTTTTCTGTCCCCCCATGACTGTCCCCCGTGTACAGAGCCAGCTCCATAAAGACATGGATGACCACTTTGGTGAAGACCCTTTTCTGTCCCCCCATGACTGTCCCCCGTGTACAGAGCCAGCTCCATAAAGACATGGATGACCACTTTGGTGAAGACCCTTTTCTGTCCCCCCATGACTGTCCCCCGTGTACAGAGCCAGCTCCATAAAGACATGGATGACCACTTTGGTGAAGACCCTTTTCTGTTCCACCATGACTGTCCTCTGTGTACGAAGCCAGCTCCATAAAGACATGGATGACCACTTTGGTGAAGACCCTTTTCTGTTCCCCCATGACTGTCCTCTGTGTATGAAAGCCATCTCCATAAGGACATGGATGACCACTTTTGTGAAGACCCTTTTCTGTCCCCCATGACTGTCCTCCGTGTACGAAGCCATCTCCATAAAGACATGGAGGACCACTTTTGTGAAGACCCTTTTCTGTCCCCCCATGACTGTCCCCCGTGTACAAAGCCAGCTCCATAAAGACATGGATGACCACTTTGGTGAAGACCCTTTTCTGTTCCCCCCATGACTGTCCCCCCATGTACAAAGCCAGCTCCATAAAGACATGGATGACCAGTTTGGTGAAGACCCTTTTCTGTCCCCCCATGACTGTCCCCCATGTACAAAGCCAGCTCCATAAAGACATGGATGACCAGTTTTGTGAAGACCCTTTTCTGTTCCCCCATGACTGTCCCCCGTGTACAAAGCCAGCTCCATAAAGGCATGGATGACCAGTTTGGTGAAGACCCTTTTCTGTTCCCCCATGACTGTCCCCTGTGTACAAGCCAGCTCCATAAAGGCATGGATGACCAGTTTGGTGTGGAGGAACTCCGGTGTCCTGCACAGAGCCCTGAGCTCATTCCCACTTTTGGAAGACCTTTGGTATAATGTCTTCTCATCCCAAAGGTATGTTTGAAGTGATGGAGGAACTCGAGTGGCCTGCATAGAGCTCTGACCTCAACCCTACTTTTGGAACACCTTTGGTAAAATGTCTTCTTACCCAACATCAGTACCTGCCCTTAACCCTATGGAGCCCCTTTATTATGAGGTCCTTCTCATCCCAAAGGTGTTCAGTAGGTTTGAGGTCATAGAGGAACTCAAGTATCCAGCACAGGTCCCTGACCTCAACCCTATGAACACCTTTGGGATAAGTTGATGAAAAGTGATGGTGAAGCAGATCTTCTCATCCAACATCAGTACATGACCTCACAAATGGGGACAAATTCCCACAGACAGCCTAAAAATATCTCACAGAACCTTCCCAGAAAAGTGGAGGCCATAATAGCCACAAAAAAAGAGAGGGGCACCTTGGTAATGTCCGTGGGAGGAGGGGCAACTGCATATTAATGGCAATGGCGTGTAATGTGATGTCCAACAAGCTCATACGGGTGTGATGGTCAGGTGTCCACCAACTGTGGGCCATAAATTGTAGTATAGACAAATTTTGGGTTTTCAGCCTCCACAGGATTTGTCGAGGTATTGTGGGAAAGCAGCTGAAGTGTAGGCGATACTATAAGACCCTCCTGGTGTATATGGATCCTCTCGAACCCGAAGCCGCTGGCACTTGTACCCTAAAACCGAGGTGTGACTAGAAGAGAATACAATGCAGAGCTATACGTCCTGTCAGGGCTCCGGGAATGACCAGAGGTGTGGGGCCCGACACAAGGAAACGCAGGCTCCAGGAATGACCAGAGGTGTGTGGGACCGACACAGGGAAACGCAGGCTCCGGGAATGACCAGAGGTGTGGGGCCCGACACAGGGAAACGCAGGCTCCGGGAATGACCAGAGGTGTGGGGCCCGACACAGGGAAACGCAGGCTCCAGGTATGACCAGAGGTGTGGAGACCGACACAGGGAAACGCAGGCTCCAGGTATGACCAGAGGTGTGAGGACCGACACAGGGAAACGCAGGCTCCGGGAATGACCAGAGGTGTGGGGCCCGACACAGGGAAACGCAGGCTCCGGGAATGACCAGAGGTGTGTGGGACCGACACAGGGAAACGCAGGCTCCGGGAATGACCAGAGGTGTGGGGCCCGACACAGGGAAACGCAGGCTCCAGGTATGACCAGAGGTGTGTGGACCGACACAGGGAAACGCAGGCTCCAGGTATGACCAGAGGTGTGTGGACCGACACAGGGAAACGCAGGCTCCGGGAATGACCAGAGGTGTGTGGACCGACACAGGGAAACGCAGGCTCCGGGTATGACCAGAGGTGTGTGGGACCGACACAGGGAAACGCAGGCTCCGGGTATGACCAGAGGTGTGTGGACCGACACAGGGAAACGCAGGCTCCGGGGACCAGATGACCAGGGAAACGCAGGAATGACCAGAGGTGTGTGGACCGACCGACACCAGAGGTGTGTGGGACCAGGGACACCAGGGAAACGCAGGCTCCGGGAATGACCAGAGGTGTGGGATGACAGGGAAACGCAGGCTCCGGGAATGACCAGAGGTGTGTGGACCGACACAGGGAAACGCAGGCTCCGGGTATGACCAGAGGTGTGTGGACCGACCAGGGAAAGCAGGCTCCGGGAATGGTGTGTGGGACCGACACAGGGAAACGCAGGCTCCGGGAATGACCAGAGGTGTGTGGACCGACACAGGGAAACGCAGGCTCCGGGAATGACCAGAGGTGTGTGGACCGACACAGGGAAACCGGGTATGACCAGAGGTGTGGGGACCGACACAGGGAAACGCAGGCTCCAGGTATGACCAGAGGTGTGTGGACCGACACAGGGAAACGCAGGCTCCAGGTATGACCAGAGGTGTGTGGACCGACACAGGGAAACGCAGGCTCCGGGAATGACCAGAGGTGTGTGGACCGACACAGGGAAACGCAGGCTCCAGGAATGACCAGAGGTGTGGGGCCCGACACAGGGAAACGCAGGCTCCAGGTATGACCAGAGGTGTGGGGCCCGACACAGGGAAACACAGACTTCAGGTATGGCCAGAGGTGTGTGGACCGACACAGGGAAACGCAGGCTCCAGGTATGACCAGAGGTGTGACTAGAAGAGAATACAATACAATGCAGAGCTATACGTCCTGTCAGGGCTCCGGGAATGACCAGAGGTGTGGGGCCCGACACAGGGAAACGCAGGCTACAGGTATGACCAGAGGTGTGGGGACCGACACAGGGAAACGCAGGCTCCAGGTATGACCAGAGGTGTGGGGCCCGACACAGGGAAACGCAGGCTTCAGGTATGACCAGAGGTGTGGGGCCCGACACAGGGAAACGCAGGCTCCAGGTATAGCGTGTAAACAAGATCATTTATTAAGGACAACACAAACATAAACGCAGTGCAACCAACCAAACCCAAAACTAACACAAATACAGACAACAAGGTGCAACAACCCAAACCTAAACTGATATATATATATGGAGCACAACGTAGTCAGGCGGGCCGGGTCGGTAGCTAACGGGAAAAACAGGGTACCAGGAGCGAGCGGAAGAGTGGTCAGGAATAGCCGAGGTCAGGACAGGCGGAGTTTGTTCAGAGTCAGGTTCAGAGTCAGGATCAAAGCAGGATCAGGCAGGAAGCAGACAGGATACCAGGTACAGGGGCTCATGGGAAACATACACCAAGGCCCTGATCACAGGCCTGGTCCTGCTTAAATACACCTCCTGCAATCAGCCTCAGGTGATGGCCTGATTGCAGGAGTGAGAATCTGGCTGCTGAGAGCACCCGCTGGCCAGCATTGGTACTGCAGCCCACAAGGCAGGTGAGTCCCACCACCATTGGCGAGTCCATTCCTGACACGTCCTATATAATGAATGTATCTAATGAGGAGAGAAGATCCTTCATGGAGGAAAATAAAGTGACATCCGTACAAACAATCATTCAAAACGTGAAACAGAAATGTATTCCCAACCCCCCGTAATCCACACTTGAGGGATCCTATTCACAAATCAATAGTGGAAAAGTGGTGTGTGCGTCCAATCCTGGGGATAGATCCGAAAAGTGATGAGTGTAACATAACCACACAAATGGTCCACAGAAACCGTCGGATGAAGATCCCGGACACGGCGCAGTAATGTACAGAAATATATATAGAGTCCGAAACTGAAAACATCAAATCGTGCGCCAAACGTCAAAGCCACGCAGGTGATCATGTGTAGCCGTGGTCACATCACAGGTGCCAATCCTCACGTGGCCACAATGCCCCTCACCCCCTTACAGTGACCACATGGGCCGACTCCCTTCTAGGATCACCCCCCGATCCTCACAGGTATTACTCGTCACAGGTCAGTCCCCTCACTCAGTGTCATCAATGGTGGCACTCACTCCTCTCCTCCAACCACTGGCATCAGCACACGGCTCGCCCTTCCTGCCTACAGGACACTTCTACCCCCTTCCTGCCTACAGGACACTTCTACCCCCTTCCTGCCTACAGGGCACTTCTACCCCCTTCCTGCCTACAGGACACTTCTACCCCCTTCCTGCCTACAGGGCACTTCTACCCCCTTCCTGCCTACCGGGCACTTCTACCCCCTTCCTGCCTACAGGGCACTTCTACCCCCTTCCTGCCTACAGGACACTTCTACCCCCTTCCTGCCTACAGGACACTTCTACCCCCTTCCTGCCTCCCGGCACTTCTACCCCCTTCCTGCCTACAGGGCACTTCTACCCCCTTCCTGCCTACAGGGCACTTCTACCCCCTTCCTGCCCACCGGGCACTTCTACCCCCTTCCTGTCTACAGGGCACTTCTACCCCCTTCCTGCCAACCGGACACTTCTACCCCCTTCCTGCCTACCGGACACTTCTACCCCCTTCCTGCCTACCGGACACTTCTACCCCCTTCCTGCCAACCGGACACTTCTACCCCCTTCCTGCCTACAGGACACTTCTACCCCCTTCCTGCCCACCGGGCACTTCTACCCCCTTCCTGCCTACAGGGCACTTCTACCCCTTCCTGCCTACAGGGCACTTCTACCCCTTCCTGCCCACCGGGCACTTCTACCCCCTTCCTGCCTACAGGGCACTTCTACCCCTTCCTGCCTACCGGGCACTTCTACCCCCTTCCTGCCTACAGGGCACTTCTACCCCCTTCCTGCCTACAGGACACTTCTACCCCCTTCCTGCCTACAGGGCACTTCTACCCCTTCCTGCCTACAGGGCACTTCTACTACCCCTTCCTGCCTACAGGGCACTTCTACCCCCTTCCTGCCTACAGGGCACTTCTACCCCTTCCTGCCTACAGGGCACTTCTACCCCTTCCTGCCTACCGGACACTTCTACCCCCTTCCTGCCTACAGGGCACTTCTACCCCTTCCTGCCTACAGGGCACTTCTACCCCCTTCCTGCCTACAGGACACTTCTACCCCCTTCCTGCCTCCCGGCACTTCTACCCCCTTCCTGCCTACAGGGCACTTCTACCCCCTTCCTGCCTACAGGACACTTCTACCCCCTTCCTGCCTACAGGACACTTCTACCCCCTTCCTGCCAACCGGGCACTTCTACCCCCTTCCTGCCTACAGGGCACTTCTACCCCCTTCCTGCCTACAGGACACTTCTACCCCCTTCCTGCCAACCGGGCACTTCTACCCCCTTCCTGCCTACAGGACACTTCTACCCCTTCCTGCCTACAGGACACTTCTACCCCCTTCCTGCCAACCGGGCACTTCTACCCCCTTCCTGCCTACAGGGCACTTCTACCCCCTTCCTGCCTACAGGGCACTTCTACCCCCTTCCTGTCTACA